ACCAATTGAGAAGGCTGTTGTTCAGAACCGTCCTCGAAGATTTGAGAAATATTTGCCCGGTAAACAAAAGAAAAGTTGCCATCTCTTGTATGAAGTTTTTTGTCTTTGACACGTAGCTGAAACAAAAAAATTACTTTTAACGAAGATTTTGAAGGAGAACTAACCGTTACACCAACTCCCCTAGGATCCTTATAGTTGTTATGGATATTAGAAGCCTCCTCCATCAGAATAGTGAAAAGGCAACAAAAAGTATGAATGAGATTAGCAAATTGCTGGAAATTAAAGAAGGTTAGTCTTTTATAGTATCGTAATTTTATACAGAAGCGAAATACTGCGATTTTTAGCATTTTGCTTGTAATGACGTTTCGTTATAATGACATTTTGAATTTTCTCAAATTAACATTTTCCACTTTAATTTTCCGCGTTTCATTATTCTATATTTTGAATTATTTATTTATCAATTAAATCAAAATGTAGAATGTTGATTTGTTTGTTTTCGTCTGACTAAAAAGGATTAGCTCTTTCCATTCTTGAATTTGTGTCACAAGATTTTTATGATCTTTTAATAAGTTTGTATTACTTTTTGTTATAATTTTAAGATTTTCAGATTGCTATAATTATCTATAATTTTGTTCTTGTTGCAGACAAGGTCAACTTCGGTTTCTTTATTGCTTCTTAAGAATGGTTTCTCCACCAGTACAAGAGGTTTCTTTAAAATTAAAGTATCTTTAACAATTCAAAAAAAGTACATAAATATGAAAGGGAAAACTGTTTGTCCTGCAAAAATGGAATCCAAAACTTAATAATTCTTTAAAATACAATTGTTTCACAATATTTGCGTTATCAGTTCGTTAGATTGCGGTTTTGCCCTGTTCTATTCAGTTTTATAAAATCAAGTTTTAGGATGTATCCGCTGTGAAAGAAGTTACTGGTGTTGGTGACCTGCAAGGTCTCGAGTTTGTTTGTGACCATGAAGGGTATCGTTACTACAAAAACACGGAGACTGGAAAGCAATGCTGTTTGGATTCTACTGGTCATTGGTTTTTGTTTGATGAAAATAACGGCACCTTTATACCTATGAATGATGCTAACAAATCATCAGCTACGCCTAAACCAAAAGAGGATAAGGGAGACCCAAGGTTACGAAATGTTGAGCGATTTGGCATAAAATTTGATCATAATGGTCGTCCTGTAAGTTTTGTTAATATCTGAATATACTATAAGCTAGAAGAATTTTTAGAAGCTCTTTATCGATTTAGCATTCCTGTACGTTTAATCTCTTCCACGAAAGATTACAGGTCACTAGGTTATCTATATTTTGGTTATTTGGGATTTATTCAAAAATATTAGATTTTCGTGAAGAGCTCTTTATAATCCACAAATAACTAAATTTTTTAAATAATTTCATTAGATTTTTCCGAAGAACGAGCGTGGATTGTTCATTCTGCCAAAAGATGAAAAAAGATTACCTTTCTTTCCTGTTGACGAAAAAGCTAGGCCAATATTTCCATACGACTATACAAAAGGCGAATCGGCCTTCCCAGTTGGTATGTAAAGCTTGAAAGTTTTATTAGTTTAATTTAAATTTAGACGATACTGATGAACCAATTTTCCCTCGGAATGCACATAATAAACCGATTGTACCAAATGATAAAAATGGTATATTTTTTTAAATTTAAAAGATTAAAACAAAATTTTATAGGACAGCCGTTATTCCCAAAAGATGTTTCAGGAAATTTTATTTTTCCTCTTAATGAGAACAATTGCCCTATACCTGCACTTACTTTGGAAGGTTTTTACATTTATTTACTTATTTCATTTTATTTTCTTTATTTTAGGCTTACCTGTTGTCCCAAAAGACGCTTATGGAAATTTTGTGATACCCCAAGATCGTGACGGAAATCCTTTAATTCATATTGCTTCTGATGGTGTAACTCCTGTTTCTGCAGCGGAGTGGAAACAATGGAAAAAATTTTATAGAGATCAGGCGCGTACTTTTTACAAACAACAACAATTACATATGGCCGTTCAGAATGTTCCTCGTTCTTCTGCTAATCATTCAATTACTAATTCGGTTTGCTTTTCTCGTTAAATAAACAGTTTTTGGTTCCATTAGTTTTTATTTACAAATTCTTGTTTTATTTTTAATTTTTGCCTCATCCTTTTTTGACTTTTTAATTGTGTGTAAGGGGTCTGCAACGCTAGTATTTTTCACAACTTTATTACAAATATATTTTTTCGAATTTTGTCTTTTATTGTCCTTATTTTTGTTGTTGATTTTAATTAAATTTTTTTCCTTGTAATCAGTATTTTATTTTTTTAAGATGTTTCATCCTGTAAATTTGGAACAGCAAAGTGTATTTTTTGCTGCAGATATGCAAATGCTTCAAATGACTCGTAGAGTTCGACCTGAGGATGTTGACTTGCCTGCAGCAGAAGATATTCAACAGCCAATGGAATTTTCAGCAGATGTTGGAAAAAATGGAGAAGCGTCTATGGATCCAAAACAATTGAAAAGGAAAAAATTTATTGAAGCTCAATTAAAATCTATTAAAAAACCACTTTCACCTAAAATTGAAGTAAAGAAATCAAAGAAAGAAGTTAAAGCTGGAAAGGAACGAAAAAAGAATAAAACAAAAGAATCATCTCGCCGAAATAAAAAGGTTTTTTAATTGTTTATTTATGTGTTTTTCCCTGTTTTTATTACTATAGTTATGAGAATTTTAAAGGCTTTTGATTTTTATTGTTAACCTATTGGGAATTTTGATTTTCTTTGTATATTTTTTACTAAAATTTCTCTTAAAAATTAAGAAGAATAGATCCCGTAAAAGACGGCGTTCTTCTACACGTTCCCGCTCTACATCGCGTGACACATTGGAAATGGTTTCCCGAGGCAAGCGAAATGAAAAGAAACATTCCCGATCTTCTCGCTCGTCTAGTCAACGTTCGGAATCTTCTGTTACTTCACGTTCAACGCAAGCGTCCAGTTTTACATCCGAAAATAAAGAAGAGGAAGAAAGACTTAGAAAACGTTTACTTTCCAAGACTATTCCTGCAAATGAATCTGTTAAAGATATGAAACTAGAAGCGGAAGAATATGGGCCCAAACCACCGGTTATTTTTACATTTTTTTATTTTAAGATTTTATGTTTCCAAGTATTTTAGGCTGTGTTGAAAGGTGGATCTTCCGACATGGAATTATCAGATGAGGAAAGAAGGTATATTATTTATATTTTAATGTAAAAAGAAAAACATCTAATGTGAGTTTTGTAGTAGTTGACTTGAGTGAGGAGGTTGTACTTGATGCTGACATAAACTTATATTTCCAAGATGTTAAAATTATCTGTCCCCGGTCTTTTTTTCATCTTTTGGCCTTTCCTCTTAACTACGATTAACATAAAATAATTTTTTGACTTTATTAAAGTTTCGAATTTTCCTTCTCAAATATATTTAAAATTAAGAGCTGAGGAAGCTGTACTCCAACAACCAAAATTGGAAATTGTTGAAGAAATGAGCAGTACAAGCATTGGAAAAAACATTCAAAACTGCAAACCAGTGATGGGACCATTCAATGTTAAAGAGGTTTTTTGTGAGGGAATGAAAAATAATTTTATTTTAGAGTAGTAGAGAGTAAATGAGAAGAAGGGTAAATACTAAAATTATAGAAAATTTGCCACAGAATTTGTTTTTGGTATAAAACAAAATTTATTGAATTAAATATTAAAATTTTAATTTTTGTAGGTGCTTGAATCTGGGCATATTGATTTGATTAAATCTTGCAAAGAGCAGGAACGAGAAAGGTTTTTTTTAAATTTTTGTTTTAAATAAGGGGATATAAAACGGACGAAACTTAACTACATCAAGTGTTTTCAAATTAAGGCTTTCTCCAAAACCGTCATATACCTAAATCGGTTGTAAACAATTCCGAACTCTCATTCCTTTTAGATACATCTATACTAGTGTTAGGCAAATGTTCAGTACCAATATCAGTAGTACCGCTGTAGTACCGAACTGTGCCTAACACTAATATATACCACTGAAGCCAAACAATTTAAACTTTAATATGACGTTCCTTCACTTCACTATACTCGTCAGCCAAATCTAATTTCCGAGGAGTGTCTTATTAAAAAAGATCTCAATTTATCAATTATTTAATGTAATTAATTAAATTTTTTAAAAGCTATGATCAACTAAAATTGAAAATTGCTGAATTACTTGTTGAAAAAAGCATTCACAAATTAAATTTGGTCAAACTTAGAGAGGTATTTAATTTTTTTTATTTTTAATAAAAAAATGATTTTTAAAGGCAGAAAAACGTATAGAAGGATGTGATGCTGACAAAGTGTCTGTATCCTCTGATGTTGGTGTTTAAACGAAAAAAATGAAGAAAATTGAATGAGAAAATTAATTGTCTTTTTTGTTGCATTCCCTCTTTTCTATATTTTGCTTATAAATATTTCCTCAAAAATTTTTAAAGTAGTTAATTAAATGGCTAATTAAGTAGGGCTATTTAAATAGCAAATAATACACTATATTTATAAGATAAATTTACTTTTAATATGATATGCAAAATTTGATTTATTTTTCTACTTCTCGAACCATTCTTACAAGATATGAGTAATGATGAGGGCCAGGGGCGGGCGCATTGCTTTTTTTGACGAAATTAATGCAAAGAATATACACAATCTGAGGACAAAATTGAAAGAAATCTGGCTTCTGGTCTTCCAAAATTCTCAAAAAAATTTTCTGCGCCTGCCCCTGATGGGGATATACTATAAAGGAATTAATTTGAGCAAGTACTTGAGCTAGAAAATGAGAGAATTCTTATTGGGAAGTAGTACCTCACACTAGGGTTGTCGGTTCTTTGGAAAATTCTTGATAACTCGAAACAAAGAACATAACCGAAAATCCTCGGTTCTTCGGTTCAGTTCCGAACCAACAACCCTACCTCCCTTAAAAAATCTCAAGTACTTGCTTTACCAAATTCAATTTAATATCAATTAATCACGATTTGAATCTTCTGTTTTTGATAGTCCTGTTCTGCACATAATTTCATTTCCTCCATGATTTTGCTGCATCTGCATCCATCCCTGTCCAGCTGCTGCGGCTGCTGCCGCCCCAGACCAATACCAATTTTGATAATGATTAACCATTCCTTGTGGGTATTGTTGACAAAATTGTTGTTGAGGAATATATGTTGATGGCACAATTGAAGAGGAAGAAATATCAAAATTAGTAGAAGTGGCTGATGGGGAAGTTGAAGAAGAATATGTTGGTAAAGAGGAAGAAAGTAATTGTTGTTGTTGTTGATTATTTTGTTGTTGAAGAAGAAATGTTTGTTGCCAATTATTTGGGGGATAGTGCTGTTGTAATTGTTGTTGTTCTTGTTGGTGGTGATAACCATTTCGGTGAATATTGTTTAAAATCTCATCGGGTATTTGTTCACAACTTAGATCCTATTGAAAAATGTAAAAATTACGAAGATTTTGTAATAAAGCCCTTCTTATACATTTTTACCTAAAAATATTAATTTCTTTCCAGTTAACCAGATCCTTAGCCCAATATGTGATTTTTTCAACGAATATTTGGTATCTATGTAGAACCTGTTTCTGATACTCAATTTTTGTCTAGCTAAATACCTTTTCAGTTTCGCTAATTTTTAATTGAGATTCTTAATGAAAATTCGATATAGGTAAAAATATTTTCGTAAATTCTCTACTAATTTAATTAAGAAGTCCATAGGGAAGAAACTCCAATAAAAATATTCACAAGTTTAAGCAATAATCCCAGAAACAAAAAAGATTGGAATGGGACTACCCGATTAATGGTAAACCTTCAATCATTCCACTAATTACTGTGGTTTTAGGCTTTAACAATTAGACTTTGAGGGTACATATAAACAGCTAATGGAGCATTTGAGAAAGATCTTAGGGGCTGAAGACGGGAGCATTCAAAATTTTTTATTAAAAACTTTTTACCTGTCTTTCCAACATTCCACTACTTCCAACACCATTTTCTGGTTCACTTTTAACTGTCATAGCTCCAAATCTATGAATATTTTCACTACTAGAATCGCCTTCGTGAGGTGATGATTCTTGAGTTAATTCACCACACATAATTCCTTGCTCTTGTTTTTTCCTCTAAATAAATTTAAAAAATATTATTGAATATTCGTAGTCTCTCAGTCACAAAATAACTGGGAGAATGGAATTTGTTAGAATTCGGAGTAGAATTACTATAAAACAGTAATTTCAATATTAAACCCTCCTAATAGTTACAATTTTGTTGGGATTGGCTAAGTGATTAGGGAATGTTTAATTAATATGAGAAAAGCTGAGATGAATTTAAAAATTATTCAAAAGGGGGAAAAGGTTCAGAGGAATAGATACAAAATCAAAAACTCTCCGATAAAAGTAAACCTTCAATCAAAAAGTCTAAACTGTAGTTTTAGACTTTATCAACTTAGGAATAAATTGTTCAATTATTGGAATGAACGGTTTTTGAAAATGTCCATTGTCTTATTATTTTCTTATCTATTTTATTTTTTTGTTTGAAAATCGCCATTCCATAAATTTATTTTTTACTAAATTTAATTACCTTCATTCTTCTATTTTGAAACCAAATTTTAATTTGTTTGTCGCTAAGCCCAGTTTTTTCAACAAGTTGGGTTCTTTGAAGTTTAGAAACATATTTATTGGCTCGAAATTCTTCTTCCAAAGTTCTCTTCTTTAAAAAACAAAAAACCTCCCTTTTTAAAATTTATTTTTAAGTTTACTTGTTCTGGATTATATGTTTGCCTTCCACCAGCTTTTTTGTTGTTGGGGTCTTTAAAAAATTAAAAATATTTTTAATTAATTTTTAAAAAAAGCTCTCTTAAATTATTCTTTGCCAATTTCTATTTTATTATTAGAGATTAAATTTTGGAATAAATTGTTCAATTATTGGCAAAGTCTAGTTGATCCAGTTATTTCCAATCTCTTAAAGTAAAATCTTTTCCCGCCCCTAATATTTTAAGTTAGAGTTTGTTTTAATAGGAATTGATTTCTGGGGCCTTTCCGGATAAAATTCGTTTTCCAATTCCAAACAATCTCGATTTATTTTTTAATTCTTTGAGTTTTGTCTTCGTGTTTAAGCAAAATAAATAGATAGGCAAGATTATGTGAAATAAAACAAGTTTATTAGTAAATTGGGTAAGATAATTTTAGAACAAAAGAGGGCTTCGTTTAACAGAACTCAAGAACTGAACTTATTTTCTAGTAGTAACTGAAGTATAATTATTTAGAAACTAATAAATTACTTGTGTTGCTTAAGGCACTTAAAATAATTTTACGATATTCTTGAAGACGAGGAACTCAATTTTTATTAACAGAATTTAAAAAAACTTTTAATTTTTGTTTTTCTTTTTAATTTACCATAACCCTCCAACTTTATTTTTTTCAACAAATTTCCAATTCTTTAATTAATTCTTTAAAAACACATTTGTTGTTGTGGTTATCGTAATCTTTTTTCTTTCTTTTTTTATTCGGCCAAAACATGGCCAACAAATAAAGTAACTTAAACAACAATTCCCCCCTTCTCTTTTTCTAGAGGTAAAGAAATGAAGAAAGGAAAAAGATGCGTCGAAAAGATGAATAATTTAAAGAAAAGAGAAAAGCATTTTCTTCCCAAGGGATTGTACAAAAATTGACTTTTTGTGGACCGATTTTTGTTTTGTGGCTTTTCTTAGTCAAGGACATTGAGGGAATGAAGAAAATGAAAGATAAAAATTAATAATAATTAGAGCTAACTGAAGTTGGCAAAGACAGAAGACAATCATGTCTAGGACCCTAGAATATCTTAATAGTTCTCCGAAAGGATTACTTAATCCTATTTTGAAATAATTTTATAAATCCAATTAAAGAATAAATTACATCTCGCTTTATAACAACTCACACAAATTTAAACTAAAGGTTGCCGTTTTCGAGTCGGACCAGCTCGGTCGAGTCATTCGGAAAGACAGGGCTGGCAATCCTAATCCCTGTGATTCCATTAAATTTAGATTTTTCTCTTCTTATCCTTTTATCCCTCTCGTTAGACTTCTTTAATTCCCCCTCTTTTTTAAAATAACTCTAACCCTTCCTATATTTAAAAATCCAACTTGTCAGATCACACACAAAATCAAATTAACCCGTTAAAGTATTTTCTAATTTCCAATTAATTAATTTACCAAATCCGCTTGTAGAAACTAAATGATGATTATGTCCATTACTGCTAATAGCTGCTGCTGTATAAGAGTAATAATGACTTAATGCTGTATTTAATGATGCTGCATAATTACCATAATTATATTGAAGGGGGTGGGTATTGGCTACAAATAAATAAGAATTTTGAATGAAAGAAGGAAAACTTTAAAATATTTTCCCCAATTCCTTTCACCCTTTCTATCTTCCCTAAGTTGGAAATTCCAATATACGCTATAAGGATGCCGAGACCCCCACAAGTTTCAATTATGGGTTCCACACGAGATTCGTATCACTATCGAAAATTTCACAAAAAATAAATCAGACCCTCTAGAAACATAAAGTTAAAAAGTAAAGAGGCTTTGATAAAAAAAGGCTTTGATGCTACTTGAATGAGAAAACAATTTTTAGATAAACGGTAACTTATTTTCTTCTTAAAAAATTCTTAAATTTAGTTGAGGTGAAAATAAAAATGGTTTGAGAGCGTTTTAAAAGATTTTTTGAATATTTTTCAAATAAAAATTCCAATAAATATCTCCCTAACCAAAAAGAAGAAATTGGCATTCCATCTATTTTTTATTCATCACCTCTCCGACCAAATGGGGGTTTTGGATTGGTTTTGACAGAAATTATTAGAGGACAATTGTCGGCATAAATCAGCGTTGGAATTGCTTTTTTTATTTTCTTTTTTTACCTTTTCCCAAATAAAAATAAAAAGAAGGTAACCACGCACATCTTTCGTCCAAACGACCGGGCATTTGTTGTAAATTTTGTAAAGGATCTAATGTCTCTGAACTTGATGGAATTGTTAAATTATTGTTGTTATTGTTGTTGGGATTTTCTAAAAAGAAGAGACTGCCGGGGATTGGGGGTTGTGGGGGAGAACAGGAACTTGGCATTTAAAAAATTTGAAAATTTTTTAAAAAATTTGTTGGCTTCTAAAATTAAAAAAATTTATTTGTGTGTTTGTGAATGGCTGACAATGTACATATTATTATACCCAAGAAAGAAAAGAAAAAGAAAAATATATTTTAGGGAAATTGCCGTCACCCTCCAATGCTTCCTTTCCCACCGTAAACCTTCTCTCCTTTTTTCATTCTCCTTTTATTCGTCCCTTTCATTTAGTGACGATTGGACGCGGAAAATTTTGGCGTTATCTGGAAAATCTCGAAAAGATAAGAACCGATTTTTTTGAAAAAACCAGAAAATACCCTCTCAGAGTTTTTTAAAACTTCTCCATAAATTTCAGAATTTTTGTTGGGATATTTCCTTGATTCTGGTCAAATAATCGGAAATAAACGAAAATTTTAAAGGCAATTTGACTGATTATAACTTATAAATAGCTAAACTGAAATTTTAGAAAAGTTTAATAGCTAATATACGATAGCTAAAAATCTGATTCACTAAACAAGACTATGGATAATTTCAAAGAACTTTTTACAGCTTCATAACCTCATTTGCACATCTCCGAAGATTCTCAGACCCTACTCCCAACCTTCTCAGCGCCCAAACAGCTAAGTCCCTCCCCTTCTCCCCAACCTCGCCCATTTTCTGTTTTTTTCTAATAATTTTGTCCACTCACATTGGTTCCCTTATGTTTTAGGGAAAATGTGTGGAATTGTGTGGAGAGGAGAACAAAAAACGAGAAAAAAATGAGTAAAAGAACGGGGGGGGGGGGGGGTAAGGGGGGGGAAGGGGGTAAGGAGGGCTGATTCACTAAATTCACTAAACAAAGAGCTACCGCTAAGGGAAGAAGGCGCAGTCCTTCATGCAGATCGTAGAAAAAAAAATAAAATAAAAAAATAGTTGGAAGACCACCCACAGATGAAAACGAGAAAAGTGAGTGAAAAGGATTTTTTTATTTCCTCTAAAAATCGTTAAAAAATATTCTCGACTCGTTTTCACCCAATTGTTGAAAATGATGTTCTTTTGATGTCTGAAATTTTGTGGCCTGCCGTTGGCCGATTTTATGCGAATTTTATTACTGGAAGGAGGGGTAGTAGGTAAATAAAAATAAAAAAAAAGTCAAAAATTGGTAGAAATTGGCATTAAAAAGAGAAAAAAAAGAAAAGGATTTTAATGAGAAAATGAGTGGAGAATAGGGGGGAGGAGAACGCGGAAGAATTTTATAAAATTATTTAAAAATAACCTACTAAAATTATGAAATTTTGTATAGATATCCCTTAAAATGTCAACCAATATCTCTATAAATTTCACATTTTTTGTATTATTTTTTAATAAATTATAGTCAATAATAACTACAAGATTTTGACAATTTTTTAAATAAATTCTGGTACTTTCACACATAACTTTTTAATTAAAAACCAAAAATTCAAAAATTTTTTAGAGAGATTAGAGATAAAGATGTTAAAAATATTTTTACAAAATTTCATTATTTTGATAATCATATAAGTTCTCCCTACCACTCCTCTCCAAAAAGTTCCCTTTTATTTTTTTCATTAGCCAGCTGCTTAATTTGACCGCGATTCTTTTACAAATTACTAGAAAAGGGCAAACACAAAACTAACTTTTTATTTAGATATACCGTCCCCCCTCCCCCCTCCTTTTTTCTTCCTCAATTCCCCCCCTTCCCTCCTTTTTATTTTTGCATTTTTCTTCTCCTCAGAAAAATTATGCCATGCTAATTTGAACGAGTCTTTCTGTTTGTGGTTGAGGTTACGCGCGGCAACGGAGAAAAAAAGGAAGGAGGAAAAGAAGAACTGAGAGGCAGCGGAGCCCTAATAAAATTTAATGGGCCGGGTGATTGGCGTGCCAGCTGTATATAATACATATATTCAAGGTGATGGGGAAAATAAGAAAATAAAGGTTTGGTAAAAAAAAAGTAGAGTTTGAAGGGAATATAAAAATATAAAATTATAAGAAAAAAAAAGGTTTGA